GGGCTGCGCGATATTGCGCGCTGGGCCTCTAGTATATATATATATATATACACACACACATATATACACACACACATATATATCCTATCTAATAAAAGAGTAGTATGGAAATTAACCATCATTTTGTCCCTCCGTCACAAAGATAGCAGCACCCATAGCTGGCAGAGAGGGGGCTGGGGGCCGCAGTGGGAGGGGCTAGGTGGGGGTGCGGAGGATGGGCTGAGACCCACCCCTGTGCCCACAGCAGCCTCGTGGCCCACTGTTCCTTTCAAGGTGCACGAATTTGTGCACTGGGCCCCTAGTATGTAAATGAATACTTCATGTCCGAGCCATACGTGTTGGATTAGAAATGTCAATTAGGAGTTGAGCATTTGGATCATCTATAATAATGAAAGTGTCATATGCTAATTAGACCAGACATCCTTCTGACGACTTACCGGACGAAGCCAGAGCTGTGAGGGAAGCCCGGGTCCTGGGTGCCTGCCGGCGGCCGGAGGGAAGCCCGGTGCCAGCAACCGGGGAAAGTAAGGCCTACTCTTGCATGAATTTCGTGCATCAGGCCTCTAGTTTGTAATAAATACTCTTCAGAGCCTGCATTTTGAGAACCAACTCTCAGGGACTCAAAGAAATGCAAGGAAGGGCAGATTGACTTTAGCGCTCACACTGAGTGACTGGAGGCAGAGAGAAGTAAAAGAGAGCAGAGGATGTGGTCTCTGGACGCCAACAAAAGGTTGCTCTTTCCATCTGGGCCAGCTGTGGTGGCGGAGAGAAAGGTTACTGAATTTGGGTCAGAAAACCCCAGCTTGAGACCAAATCAGGTTTAGGTACTTTCTATAGCTGTGGCCTCGCAGAAGCAACTTAATCTCTATGTACCTCAGTTTCCTCATCTATAAATGGAAATGGTCCTCTTTCTTAGGGGTTTGGTAAGGTTAAGTGAATTAAGGTATTTTAAAAAGTGTTTCAAAAATTTGTAAACAAAAAACAAGTGTATCAAGTTTGAAATTATATCAAAGTAAAGCGTTACCAAACAACAATAATAGCAAAAACAACCAGGAAAGAAAGGGTAGAAACCTAGGCAGATCTGGGGTTCTTTTGTTTGTTTGTTTTCTTTAAATATATTTTTGTTGATTTCAGAGAGGGAGAGAGAGAAACATCATTTTTATTGATTTCAGAGAGGAAGGGAGAGGGAGTGAGATAGAAACATCAATGATGAGAGAGAATCATTGATTGGCTGCTTCCTGCACCCCCCACACTGGGGACCGAGCCCGAAACCCGGGCATGTGCCCTGACCAGGAATCAAACTATGACCTCTTGGTTTTGATGCTCAACCACTGAGCCATGCTGACCGGGCCTCAGCTTGCTATTTTCTTATCTAACACTCAAAATTCTACAAAGCAAACACCTATATCCCCCAACATTGTAGGTAAAGTAGGATTAAAGAAAAGGAAGAATACAGTACCTATCCTTAGGGTTATCGTGTTAACTCCATTTCTAGAATGCCATCTGACCACTTGGTCTGTGTTCTTTTTTTACATGTGGGCAATGCCTATGGGGAGAACCTGTGAGCCCAGCCAGGACTTGCTGGGGGAGGTAAGAGGCTGGCCAGCGCCAGGGGCAAATGGACCTTTCATGTGGTTCTACAGCTCACAGTGTACAAGGTGCCACTACAGTGCAGTTCCCACAGGTGAACCCGCAGTGGCGGCTTCGTCACACCCTTCAGGGAAAGTGATGTGCCCTTGGTGTGTTTCGGGCAGGTTCTGCCGCTCCTGTATTGCCACCAGTCTGAAGAGCAGTAAGTGGACCTGCCCTTACTGCCGGGCGTACCTTCCTTCCGAAGGAGTCCCAGCCACGGATGTGACCAGAAGGATGAAATCAGAGTTCCAGAACTGCGCGGAGTGCGGCACCCTGGTGAGTGGCCCTGTGCTCACCGGCTTGCAGGGCTGAGAAAAGTGGTACACGGCTCCTCGGTTCACCTGTGCCCTTTGACCTCCCCCTGCCCCGACTTCCTAACGTTGATTGTCTCAGCCTTTCTCCAGTTTCATAGGTGTAAGCGGCAAGAAAATAGTCACCAGATGCCTACCATCGCCTCGTTTTCCACACAAACGCTTTCATTGGCTGCCTCCATCTCTTCTCTTCCCATGACTCCCGTGACCCTGGGATGTGGCCTCCATTCCTGCTCCTCTAGTGCAGGCACCAACGAGAGCTTTGTTAGCAAATCCAGTGGCACACTTGCACCCACGCCCTTGACTTGGCAGTGTTTCTCTCTCTCCATCACTTCCTCCTGTTGCAGTTTTCATCCTTTGATACTAGGCAAGCATGGTTAGATCATGTGAGGGCTTGGGGCCATGCAAAAGATTCTATCTAGATTCTAGATTGTATCTCAAATGCAATAGTGACGCATAGAAGAAGTGTAAGCCTTTGATCGGGGTTACACTTGGGGATATTACTCCAGCGTGTGCGTGGATGGTGGCTTGCAGGGGGCAGAGGCAGGACTGGTGAAGCCGATTTGGTGGCTGTCAGTGTGGGTCAGGTAAGGAAGCTGGTTGGGGAGATAGTGTATTTAGGAGGGAGAAGCAAAGGAAATTGGTGATTGACTGCATGTGGGGGTGAGGGAGCGCGAAGTGTCAGAGTGCCTGCAAGGTTTCTGAGATGAGTAGCGAAGGTGTTAAAATGGGGATCGGGTTTGGAGCAGAATCCACGGAGTTGAATTTGAGATGTGTTAACATTTGAACTAAGTAGGAGATACTTGGCTATACCAGTCTAAAGATCAAAAGAGAGATTATGTACTGAAGGTCTAAATTCCTTTAGAGAATCTTTCTTGATTGTTAACCTAAATTATAGCCTGTTATACTTTCTCTTAGCACTCTGTGTCCCCTTTATAACAATTTTCACCTCTTACTATTATGCTTTTATGATTTTTTAATTGAATATCAGTTATTCCCACCAGATTTAAGTTCCAAGAAGGTAAGGACTGTGTCTGTTTTATTGGCAACTGTGTACCCAGCACTTTGAAAAGTGGCTGGCACATAGTAAGTGCTTAATGCAGTTTTGTTTTTAATAAATACTGGTATTTATGTAAGACTCAGTAATCTCTTCATGGCTGCCTGGCTACAGAATACATGCATGGTCTTTGAGGTCGAACATCCTAGCATCAAACACTAATTCTCTCACTTACTCTTTGTGATTTGGGACAAGTTATTAATCTGAGTTTTTGTTTATCTCTGGAAAATAAGGAAAAAGGTAATGTTTGTGTCACAGGATGGTTTTAAAGGTAAATGAGAAAACACATGGTTTCAAACATGAGAAATACTCAAAATCAAAAGATTTCACCTCATCATAATAGACTGGTGCTTATTTTTACTTGGACATTTTTTTCATCGTATAAAATGTAACACGTCCCAAGTCAAACTCAGGGTATTATTTCATCATCCTGTTCTTTATCCCACCTTTGGTGTCCGTCAGAAACAAGAACATTCAATTATTCTGAGTGGAAATTCCCTTTCTTTTTTCCCCTCCCGCCCCTTTTTCTGCATTTTGCATTTTCTCTTTGGGGTATTTCTTGTATCCATCTCTTCTGTTTTCTGTTACTCATCCTGCCAGGAATACTGCCATTCCTTCGATAGCCATCTTAGATGCTACTTATGCTAAAGAATCCAGGCCACAGCTCCACCCCATGACGCCTGGCTTTCGTATGCCAGTGCCCATATCAGCTTCCTTCCTACTTGTCTACGTACATATCTTTCTCCCCCTTCCATTAGATTAGAAGCAGCTTTACAGCAAGCACAGTGGTTTATTTATTTTTTAAATATGTTTTTATTGATTTCAGAGAGGAAGGGAGAGGGAGAGAGATAGAAACATCAATGATGAGAGAGAATCACTGATCAGCTGCCTCCTGCACACCCCACACTGGGGATCGAGCCCACAACCTGGGCATGTGCCCTGACTGGGAATCAAATCGTGACCCCCTGGTTCATAGGTTGATGCTCAACCACTGAGCCACGCTGGCCGGGCCAACCACAGTGGTTTATGTGTCTTCTGTCATCTCTTACGTCGTCTTACATACTTTTGTCTCTAGAGTGGGCACTGTGTGAAGTTATCAGTTCATCTGTCAGTATATATGGTCCCCAGATTGCTAATTTCTGTGAAGAGCCCTTCGCTTTGTTGATGAAGGAACACAAAGAGGAAGAAGGAAACCTTTAACACGAGTAGTGAAGAGATGAGAGAGCACTGGTGGGCAAAGTTGGGTGTTCAAGACTGCGTAACAGTCTGTGTCCAGGCGGCTACCTACATCGGTCCCGGTTTTTACATCTTTTACTTAGATATTTGTAAGGCGAGGACTCGCTTTTATTTTTGGTCTTTTGTGAAGCAGTTATAACTGTTTCAAGTTTGAGGTTTCACTTCGGTCGCGTGGGCAGCGTGAAGCAGGGTGGGTCGGCCACCTTACCACAGCTGTGAGAGCTCCCTTCAGCACAGATCCTGTCAGTTCCTGCCGAAGCACTGAGTACAACATGTGTTATTTAGCAACAGATGCCTCATGGTCAGGGCTCTGAATGTATATCTGCAGGAACAAGGGCTCTTTCTTTGGCCTTGATAAAAATGGACGGCAAGAGCTGCCTTTCATGTGTGCTCTTAATGGGGCCATTAAGTGTGCTGTGTATTGTGAATTCATGTCCTACTACTAGATACATGCGAAAACCAGGGTATTTATAGCTTTTCCCGAGCCACAGCGTTTCTTTTTACTTATTATGGATATTCCTAAAATCCATCCATTTATTATGCTTTTCTGTCTTTTTTTTTTTTTTTTTACTTTTTCCCCCTTTCTCCCTCTTCCTCTCTTTTTCCTCTCCCTTTTTTCTTTCCCACTCACTTCTTTCCATCACCAATTTAGGTAATGGCATTCCCAAAAAGTAAATTTCAGTTCATCTACGTCTTTCCACTTAAAAAATAAATGCTTTCTAGAAGAACCAAATTCAGTAACTCAACATTTGGGTCTTCAAAGTGTTAGAGAAATTGAAAAGTAGTGCTGTTCTGGATACTGCCCTAGCTTTGTTGTACTGTTTTCATGAATGCATCCTTTTAAAGTCAGCTGACCCCCACTCTGACCTTATTTGAAATAATGAAAGTGGCAATAAAGCCGGGTCACACAGACTTCACTGAGCTCCCTTTCAGCAGTGAGTTTATTTTGAATTTGCTTTTGTGTAGGTTTGCCTCAGCGAGATGAGGGCACACATAAGAACCTGTCAGAAGTACATAGATAAATATGGACCACTACAAGAACTCGGGGAGACAGCAGCAAGGTTTGTTTCCACAGAGTATAGTTTAGTGCTAACTTCGATATGTCTGTAAAGAACTTAATGCTGGGACTAATACAAAGTAATATTGAATGTAAATTGTAATTGAAAAAAAATGTTTAATGTTATGTTACAGAAAAGGGAAAAAAAAAAGAACTTAACGGGAAATTTAAAATTTTTATTGTGAAAACATGCATGTAGTTATGGGCAGGCTCTTAACCATAATACCTGTTATTGGCTCTTAACCATAATACCATTTGTTTTGTGTTTGTTTTTTAATATATTTTTATTGATTTCAAAGAGGAAGGGAGAGGGAGAGAGAGATAGAAACATCAGTGATGAGAGAGAATCACTGATCGGCTGCCTGCACGCCCCACTTATCCAGGTGGTCCTTATAAGAGGGAGGCAGAAGGAGACTTGACTATGGAAGTAGGAGCTATGACAGTGATGGCGAACCTATGACACGCGTGTCAAAGGTGACACTAGAACTCATTTTTTTGGTTGGTTTTTCTTTGTTAAATGGCATTTAAATATATAAAATAAATATCAAAAATATACGTCTTTGTTTTACTATGGTTGCAAAGATCAAAAAATTTCTATATGTGACACGGCACCAGAGTTAAGTTAGGGTTTTTCAAAATGCTGACATGCCGAGCTCAAAAGGTTCGCCATCACTGCTCTAGTTCATAGGTTGACGCTCAACCACTGAGCCTTGCTGGCCGGGCGGTGACCAGTTGTTAATAGCAATAATCATGGACTTTGCATGGAGGGAACCAGCCGAGCACTGGAGAGATGAGGGAAACGTCCTCAGACGGGTTTATATTAAGGGAGATCCACAAACAATGCAGAACTGCTCATTTCTGCTAGGCCCTGCTTTCTGACTAATAGAGCCCTGAAGTAGATCGTGATTAAGAGGTGATTCATCTTAAAAAAAAAAGAGGTTATTCATCTTTACTTTTCCACCACCACTGCCCAGTTCCCAGTTCACTCCCTCTCATTTTGCCGGTTTCTCCTTAGAAAGTAGGAAGTCACATCTCCATACATCTCCATATATATTCTAACAAGGAGGTACAGGCCTCCGCAGGCGTCTGTATTCTATACCTTTGGGGGCTGGAAGATGGATGGGTGTTGCTAGTAGGTTTAATGGAAAATATTGATCTCCTTTTTTTTTTTTTTTTCTTTAAAAAAAAAAAGAAAAGAAATCTGGGTCATTATTGTCCGGATAGCCAGAATAATTACAAAGTTTGGAGTCTCTCTCTCTACTAACAAAATAAAGAAATGGTGACTTTGAAACCATTAAATGTGCTTATAAACTCAGTTACCCAATAGTGGGATTCAGTAGGGGTGTGATTTCTTTCTCTCTCCTGAAGGAAAATGTTAGTTCTGCTTATTTTAAGAAAACACACTCAAAATGTAGCTTATACTTTTTAACCTGGAAGTCTAAATGATCGCGCCATTCCTTTTGTTTTACTAGACATTGCTTTGCAAACATACTTGCTTTATAGGATTCGTTTTATCCTATGACAGTACAAATTTTAAATTTTTTTTTTTTTAATATATTTTATTGATTTTTTACAGAGAGGAAGGGAGAGAGATAGAGAGCTAGAAACATCGATGTGAGAGAAACATCGATCAGCTGCCTCCCGCACATCCCCCACCGGGGATGTGCCCACAACCCAGGCACATGCCCCCGACCGGAATCGAACCCGGGACCCCTGAGTCCGCAGGCCGACGCTCCATCCACTGAGCCAAACCGGCTTCGGCCAAATTTTAAATTTTTAAGCAGAGTCCAGATTCTGTTGGATTGACCCCAAGGGCCAATAGGAAGGAAGGATAGCAACTGGTTTGAGAAAGTATGTGTGTATTTGATTGCAAGGTTGATAGGTTTTATAAAAAATTAAAATATCAAAAGCTAATTTAAAGCCAAATTTCTTCTGCTAGTTAGAATTAAATAGTAAAGAATTAAAATAACAGAAAATGAGAAGGGTTTAGATTAATATTTGCATTTAAGATAGAAGTCGTTGCTTTATAGAAGAACTTACTCCATGATTCAAATTTTTTTTTTTAAAATATATGTTATTGATTTTTTTACAGAGAGGGAAGGGAGAGGGATAGAGAGCCAGAACGTCGATGAGAGAGAAACATCGATCAGCTGCCTCCTGCACACCTCCTACTGGGGATGTGCACACAACCAAGGCACATGCCCTTGACCGGAATCGAACCTGGGACCTTTCATTCCGCAGGCCGACGCTCTATCCACTGAGCCAAACCAGTTAGGGCCATGATTCAAATTTTTAAATTTCTTACGCAGGCAGCTTGTCTAGAATACAAGTCTTAGGAAGTAGGAAGTTATATCTGTAATGGAAAGTGAGCAAAAAAATTCCAAGTTTCCATATTGTCCCTAAGAATTTAAGGCAGCACTGGCCAATAGAAATAGAATGCAGAACACATATTGTAATTTAAACTTTTCTAGTAGTAAGGAAAATCAATTTTTGATATATTTTACTTAACCCAAATATAGCCAAACTATTATTTCAACATGTAATCAATATAAAAGTTATTGAGATAGCCCTAACCTCAGTGGATAGAGCATCGGCCTGCAGACTCAAGGGTCCCGGGTTCGATTCCGGTCAAGGGGATGTACCTTGGTTGTGGGCACATCCCCAGTGGGGAGTGTGCAGAAGGCAGCTAATTGATGGTTCTCTCTCATCGATGTTTCTAACTTTCTATCCCTCTCCCTGCTTCTCTGTAAAAAATCAATAAAATATATTAAAAAAAAAGTTATTGAGATATTTTACATTCTTTTTAGATTAAGCCTTTGAAATTCAGTGTGTATTTTATACTTTGGCATATCTCATTTGGACTAGCAATATTTCAAGTGCCCAACAGACACATATGGCCAATGGCTACTGTATTGGGCAGCAAGATATAGGAACAAATACCCCCAAGTGTAAGGGCTTAACAGGGTAGTTGAAGGTCATTTTTCATTCTTCATTCGATACTAATTATGTGAGTTGACAATTGTAGTTACACAGGGAGGGGAAAATAGGTTTACAGTTGTGAGTATGCAAAACACAGTTTATTTTTGTATTATTATTTATTAACTATTGTATTATTTTCCATATGAACAACTATAAACCTAGTTTTGCCCCACTCTCTCTCTCTCTATATATATATGCTAGAAGAGTTGGAGGACAAATAACACCCAAATCAACATTAGGAAAGGGAGGATGGAAAAGTGACAAAGTAACGCAGGGACAGGTGGGTGGACTTAGTGCTCAGTTTCTCAGTGAGTGGGGCTTCTAGTGGCCTGGAGCTGTTTCTCTCCCCTGCCCCCAGAAGGTCACGTATTTACATCCCTCAGGAGAAAGACTTTAGGCACCAAGACCATTATCAGGACTGGAAAAAATTATACCGATTCAGAAAGAATGAGGACTGGAAACTGGATCCATTTTTTACCTCTGTAGTTAAGTGACTACTCTCATTGCCAATAATTTTAGTGATATTCATATTCTATGCAATTTCCAGGTGTGTGTGTCCATTTTGTCAGAAGGAACTGGATGAAGACAGCTTGCTGGATCATTGTATTAATCACCACAGATCAGAAAGGAGAGCGGTGGTAAGGATTTTTGTCACTATACATATCTGCAATGTCTAAATTCAATATATATTAGAAAATTTATTTGATAGGCTTCTGTTTACAGATATTTAATATAGGATAATTTGTCAAGGTTATGGTAATTCTGTGACATTAACAAAATGTGAAAGTGTTGAATTGAAACTGATAAGAATTACTAATGTGCATTCAATCATTCATTTATGAAATTAGACATCATCTCTTACAGATAATCCTGGGCATAATCAACTAAGAATATCCAAAATGCACAGTTAAGATCTAACTTTAGTATAATAAACATGGTCACATCCTAGGTTAAAAACATTTTTAAATAATGCAAATAGAGTTATGAAAATACACTAGAAATGAAAAGTAGAAAATTATCTGTTTTATAAAAGGCTAATATGCAAAGTGTCCCCTTGGGTGTTCGACCGTGAGACTGGGAGTTCAATTGCTCACTATGATGTGCGCTGTCCACCAGAGGGTGGTGCAGAACAAAGGAAGGCCCCGGCCGGCAGCCGGAAGGCCCTGATTGGCCCTGATTGCCGTCCAGGCCTAAGTACCCTACCCGTGCATGAATTTCATGCACCAGGCCTCTAGTATAAAATAAAACAAAAAGTCATTCATCTTTATGAATCAGTCTGTTACTTTATTTCATATATATCCACATGCTTGTGCATTAAATACACATATTGCTCATCATTTCCTAGATTCATAGTGAGTGCTGACTTTTTTTCTTTTCAACCTGGCATTTCAGTTCTACTTTGTGCTGTGGCTTTTTAAATTTTTTTTAATATATTTTATTGATTTTTTTTTACAGAGAGGAAGGGAGAGGGATAGAGAGTTAGACACATCGATGAGAGAGAAACATCCATCAGCTGCCTCCTGCACACCCCCTACTGGGGATGTGCCCGAAACCAAGGTACATGCCCTTGACCGGAATCGAACCTGGGACCTTTCAGTCTGCAGGCCGACGCTCTATCCACTGAGCCAAACCGGTTAGGGCTGTGATGTGGCTTTTATAATTTTTATTGCTGTATAGTAGTGAGGTAGGCTTTTTGTTTGTTTTTTGTTTATTTTTACCAAGTTAACTCTAACACTCACCATATGACCACCAATCAAATTTTTGGAAATTTATCCTAGAGAAATAAAAACATCTATGCAATTATCTGTACACAAATGTTCATTACAGTTTTATTTGTAACAGCCCCAAACTGGAAACAACAAATGTCCTTCAGAAAGTAAATGGTTAAACTGTGGTACATCCATATCGCGGTCTACTTACCACTACCAATAAAAAGGAAGGAACTATGGATGCAAGCAACAACTTGGATGAGTCTCAAGGTCATTTTGCTCAGTGTAAAGAGCCAATCTCACAAGATTAAGTGCTGTATAATTGGATTTATTTAACATTCTCAAAATGATGACATTGTAGAGGTGGGGACAGATCAGGGACACCAGGGTAGGGAGAGAAGGAAGTAGAGGGGTAGCACTAGGAAGTTCCTTTGCAGTGACAGGACACTTCTGTATCTGATTTTGTTGATGGGCATATGAATCTATGTGCGTGATAACATTTCATAGAACTACACACACACACACGCACACACACACGCACACGCACACATACACGCACACACCCAAAACTGAATTCATGCAAAAACTGGTGAAACCTAAGGCAGATCTGTAGTCTAGTTAATTGCTAACTTCCTGATTTTGATAATGTGCTATAGTTATGTAAGATATTACCATTAGGGAAAACTGGGTGATGGGAAATGGGACCTTTCTGAATTATTTTTGCAATTTCTTGTGAGTTTATAGATATTTCAAAATGAAAGTTTTTTTTGAAGAGCTATTCATAGCTATTAAATTAGGAAATACATGTAAATACTAATTACTGATGCTGGTGTGTTATAATCTTTATTACTGGTGATAATAAAAATACTTTAGAGCAATAGATATTATGGACCATAAATGTTCATAACCTTTGTCTACGAATCTCCATTTCTGGTCATTTATCCTAAGAATATAACCCCCCAAAAGATAAACACTATAGATAATATCATTTGTAATAATAAAATATCTACATACAAAAAACTTATTTCAAGAGGTAGGCAACTAATTAAGTACATTACAGTGCATCTACTAACTGTACAATTGTTTAATTAATCAGTTAATAACTATGAAAATAGTAGCTATACAGTAATATGTATACAAGAAATATATACAAGAATAAATGCAATTTTATGTGTTTAATGTTTTAATGTTTATGAAATTTTAAAACATAAAACTGAGGTATGGCCAATAGATTTGTCGAGTTAAATTTCACTTTATTGAGTGACTAGTTATTTTTTTAATTAAAATTTATTGGGATGACATTGATTAATAAGATTAGATAGGTTTCAGGTATAGATTTCTATGATACATGATCCTTATTGCATTGTGGGCCCATCACCCAAAGTCAAATCATCTTCTGTCGCCATATATTTGGCTCCCTTTACCCTTTCCTACCCCCCCTTCCCTCTGGTAACCACCATACTGGTGTCTGTGTCTATGAGTTTCAGTTTTATATCCCTCATATGAGTGAAATCATATGGTTCTTAGCTTTTTCTGACTGCCTTATTTTGCTTAGCATATTCTCATGCTGTCCATCCATGTTGTCACAAATGGCAGTATTTCATTTTTTCTTATGGTTGAGTAGCTGGCTATTTGATGTTTTAATTCTGACATTAGTGATTATTTTAAATTCTTTCTTGAACTCTTGGTCTTGTCTGTTTCCAGTTCTGCCCACTCTGCCGTTTAATACCCACTGAGAACCCAAGCAGCTTCAGTGGCAGTTTAATAAGACATTTGCAAGTCAGTCACACTCAGCTCTATGAGGATTTCTTAGTAAGTATTTGTTTTATTTTTACATTGTCTTCATGCTGTCTGTGTTAAGCTTACTTTTTTAATCCAAGCGAATAAGGAGGAAAAAATGCATATATAACCACAGTGTTAAGTATTAAGTAAGAAATCATAAAAATAGAGTGTTTTGTAAATTTGGCTATTAATATGAAAGCAGTTATCTGCCTTACACAAAACTATTTTTTGTGTGATCCACATAATTATCCATTGTATAAGGAGCCAGATTTCACCTTCAAATTACTTTAGTTTCTACTTTACTCCCTCCCTATGTATGGTTATAGTTTTTGTGGACCTGAGAACTTATACATGATGAAATGAAATCACACCAATAACGAAATGACTCAGAGAGTTTGTTCTGCATCCAGTTGCTTTTATTTATTTTATTTTTAAAAATAAGTTTATTGATATCAGAGAGGAAGGGAGAGTGAGAGGTAGAAACATCAATGATGAGAGAGAATCATTGATCAGCTGCCTCCTGCACAGCCCCCGCTGGGGATTGAGCTTGCAGCCCAGGCATGTGCCCTGACTGGAATCGAACCATGACCCCCTGGTTCATAGGTCAATGCTCAACCACTGAGCTACACCAGCTGGGCCAGTTGCTTTTATAGTACATTGAATGGCTGTTCACAGATATGAAATTATCTGTGTAGTAAGGCAGATAGCCATTATTTTTAATTTAAATTTATAAAATACAGTATTTATTGAACTTTTTTAAACATAAATTTATTATGAAAAATATTAAACGTACACAAAGTAGACAGAATAGTACAATGAACCTCCCATAGAACCATCACCTACGCATCAATAACTACCAACACATGGCCAATCTCGTTATGTTGGCTTTTTTTTAAAATGCAAGAAAAGTTAGGTATTGCGTGAGTAGTCCTAATGCTTATGACTGTATTTCCCATGATCAGAAATTAGAATAACAAGCAAAAAGTTAATGTAGCCTTTGTTGTGCTTTGGTCCATGTGTTGTCATGGGAGGGTAATATGTTACCCTGAGTCCCTTTCAGCCTGTAAGGGGGGGAATCACTCAGAACCATGTTCTGAAACACAATATTTTATTGTTAACTTTCATCTAAATACAGGAATGTTAATGGCTAAATTTGAATTCGCAGATAATTTGACATTGTTTTATGCTATTTTAAGATAGAATTTAGTAATTGTTAAAGATTTGTTAAAAATGGTTAATTTGAAAATTCTCTCCTTGTTTTCTGATCTGCGCACTGTGATTATCCAGGTTCAACACAAGGAATTTAGGTTCTGGCCTGGATTTAAGTAACAGCTCTGTCACAACAGTGTGACCTTGGGCAGACTACTGACCTTTGAGCCGCTGTTGATTTGCTAAGTGAAGGGAGTAAAAAGCAACTACTCCCCAAAGAGGATTAAGTGAGGGAATGCAGGGAAAGCGCTTTGCACAGTGTGGGCAGGGATCTCAGGCAAGTTGGAGGTGGGGAGAGAATAGATGGGAATATGAGGACCACTTGAAGGACTGCACAGGCTACAGCAGAGCTTCGTGGGCTCTGTTCCGGCTCCCAAATAGTGTCTCTGGCCCCCAAAGGACACAAGGCCTTACCGAGCCTGGTTCTGGTCTATGTGTTCTCATTTTTCACAGCACGTAGGGAGGGCTTCCTCTTTAGTTTAGCTCCATCAGATGTTCCAAAAGCCATCACCTGTTCTAGCTGTTCACATTCAGTCCGTTCTTCTCAAGATCTTTCAAAGTATGAATCCGGGGCTGGTCAGGAGGAAGCCACTTCGATGAGAATACTTTCCACCCACTCAAAACCATATTCTTGGATATGGAAGTGGGGCTGAAACAGTGTTTTTTGGTTTGTTTGTTTGTTTCCTCAGCTACCAAGTACTATGGGAGGCACTTCATGCATATTATCTCATTTTATTCCTTGTAACAACTGTCAGGGAGTACTCTATTATCCTCACTTAGGTATGAAATATCTGAGGCTCAAAGGTTAATACATTGCCTAAGAAACAACCAGTATTGAGTCCCAGATCTTATGTTCTTCTACTCTTTATGGCTTTCCTTTGGATTTTATTTATTTGACTTTATGGTTTTACTAGAGGCCCAGTGCATGGATTCATGCACTTTGGCCCGATCCCTGCAGACCAGGCTGAGGGACCCCACTGGTGCACAAATCCGTGCACTGAGCCTCTAGTATGCATATAAGATCTTTGGTTAATCTCTTCCTGCCCTCCCCCCTGCCCCCTTCCCTCTGAGATTCATCATTCTGTTCCATGTTTCCATGCCCGTGCGTTGAGCATCTGCCCCCTGGTGGTCAGTGCGCATCATAGCTACCGGTCAAACTGTCGCTTAGGCTTTTATATATATAGATGTTTCAGAATGGACTTTCAACACAGATTTACAAGGTTTGTTTTTTGTGTTTTGTTTTTGAAGGAAGAGGAGATGAGTTGCAAAGACAGGGCTCTTGATAGTTTTTGTCTTGTTTACAGAATGTGCTGACTTGAAGTTTTGAATGCCATTTTGACCACAGGAAGGCAAAGAGAAAGAGAGTTTTGCTTTCAGCAGTTTTCAAATAGATATTCAGTAGTTGTGCTGAGATTGCTGAGTCCTATGGAAATGTCTTAACTTTATATGACCTGTTATGTGGAACCTAGCTCTCTGACCAGTATTTGTAGCGTTGACTAAAAACTACTCATTAGATCAGATTCAAAACTTTAAATTCCAAATCAGGACTATTTTACTATGACAATACCTGGTTTCTTTGTAGGCAGGCAAATGAAACAGAAAATGCACTGGCCCCAAACAAAAGAGCTAGGTTCCCTGACGGGTTTTTTTATGGAAGATTGGACAGGTCACTGAACTCAGGGCTCCCTCAGTTTGTGAAAATTGTCTCTGATTGTATGTTTCTAATTATTTTTCTTAATTCTAGGATTTTAATATAATTGAGGAAGCTCTTATCCGAAGGGTATTAGACCGGTCACTTCTGGAATATGTGAGTCACTCAAACACCACATAATGTCGTGAAAAGGAGAAGGAAGGAGACCATACAGTTGCACCATTTGTTAAGATGCTGCTTGAACAGTTGGAGGGGAATTGTCGATGTCTGACGGGCAGAAATGTACAACACAGTTCTCTCGCATTTTAAAACTGCTTTTATCTTGATGGTTTAAATCTGTTTTACATCCGTGAGCCTTTTAGACGCTCAACAAACAAAAAGAGTCTCCATTAGCCATTAATATACTATGAAAGAGAACCTAAGGCTGGGATTGGTGGGCGAAGGATCTTTATTTGCAAACTGGATGACAGTATGTGTCACGCTACTTATTAATAAACAGCATCATGGTAGGGCAAGATAACTAATCCTTGTTCTATGTAAAAAGATGGAACGTGAAACCAATTGTGGACATGCAAGGAAATATGAAATCTGTTCCAGTGCTCATGTTCTAATCACTAATAGAATAACATGAATAACTTTGTATGGTAGGGAAGGAAAATTTTGGAAGTTGATGAAGTCCATTTAACCAAATTGTATAACATGATGTAACAAAATTAATTTCATGTTAGGAATGTATGCCTAATTCTTTTACTTTTTATAACTGCATACCTAAGAATTTAATATTCTATTTTTCAAATGTTTTGGCAGTTAATTTGCATATCTCGATGATTAGCCAATGGGAAGGGGAGCGAAGTTACGGTTAATTACCATGTTTATTATTAGATAGGATGTTTCAGAATGGACTTTTAACACAGATTTACGAGTTGTTGTTTTTTGTTTGTTTTTAGTTTTTGAAGGAAGAGGAGATGGGTTGCAAAGGACAGGGCTCTTGATAGTTTTTGTCTTGTTTACAGAATGTGCTGACTTGAAGTTTTGAATGCCATTTTGACCACAGGAAGGCAAAGAGAAAGAGAGTTTTGCTTTCAGCAGTTTTCAAATAGATATTCAGTAGTTGTGCTGAGATTGCTGAGTCCTATGGAAATGTCTTAACTTTATATGACCTGTTATGTGGAACCTAGCTCTCTGACCAGTATTTGTAGCGTTGACTAAAAACTACTCATTAGATCAGATTCAAAACTTTAAATTCCAAATCAGGACTATTTTACTATGACAATACCTGGTTTCTTTGTAGGCAGGCAAATGAAACAGAAAATGCACTGGCCCCAAACAAAAGAGCTAGGTTCCCTGACGGGTTTTTTTATGGAAGATTGGACAGGTCACTGAACTCAGGGCTCCCTCAGTTTGTGAAAATTGTCTCTGATTGTATGTTTCTAATTATTTTTCTTAATTCTAGGATTTTAATATAATTGAGGAAGCTCTTATCCGAAGGGTATTAGACCGGTCACTTCTGGAATATGTGAGTCACTCAAACACCACATAATGTCGTGAAAAGGAGAAGGAAGGAGACCATACAGTTGCACCATTTGTTAAGATGCTGCTTGAACAGTTGGAGGGGAATTGTCGATGTCTGACGGGCAGAAATGTACAACACAGTTCTCTCGCATTTTAAAACTGCTTTTATCTTGATGGTTTAAATCTGTTTTACATCCGTGAGCCTTTTAGACGCTCAACAAACAAAAAGAGTCTCCATTAGCCATTAATATACTATGAAAGAGAACCTAAGGCTGGGATTGGTGGGCGAAGGATCTTTATTTGCAAACTGGATGACAGTATGTGTCACGCTACTTATTAATAAACAGCATCATGGTAGGGCAAGATAACTAATCCTTGTTCTATGTAAAAAGATGGAACGTGAAACCAATTGTGGACATGCAAGGAAATATGAAATCTGTTCCAGTGCTCATGTTCTAATCACTAATAGAATAACATGAATAACTTTGTATGGTAGGGAAGGAAAATTTTGGAAGTTGATGAAGTCCATTTAACCAAATTGTATAACATGATGTAACAAAATTAATTTCATGTTAGGAATGTATGCCTAATTCTTTTACTTTTTATAACTGCATACCTAAGAATTTAATATTCTATTTTTCAAATGTTTGTAGCTTATTTAGGAATATTTCTATAATGTAGGCAAGTTCTTAAGAACCGTCAGCTGTTATTGATAGTAGAGGTATTCACATCCATAATTTTTAGTGGAAAATCCAAAGGGCTTTGATGTTATTTTTATTTCCGCCGTTAGAGAAATTATAAAAAAATACTGAAAACCCAACAGAATTATAGCTCATCACATTATGATAGGAAAGCACTCTTGTCAGCCACCCTGGATGTCCTCTGCGTGTCCTGTCACAGTTCACAATGCTCGTCCCCAACCCCACAAAAGTAACCATTACATTGATTCCAGTAGTAATCACTTTCTTGTACTTCTTTAGTGTTTTATTGCCCAAGGGTGTATCTCTACACACTGTTTTTTATCTTATTCATTTAAAATTGTTATGAGATGTATCGTTTACATCCCTTTTTTACACGTTCCCCCGTTCTTTCTTTTTCTTAAAATTTACCAATTGGAGAACCTGGTCTTATGATTCACAGTTTCCCAAGTCTGTATTGTATTGATTGCAGGCTCATGGCACAATTCAGCATGTTCCTCTGTCCTCTGGACATTGACACATGGGTCCAGAGGTTTGAGCAGACTTTTGGCAAGACTGTCCGGTTCAGTCTTTTTGTGACGTCGGCTAAACTTGACACTCGGTGCCTAGATCCAGTGATTTATTGTGGGTTGGAGAGTATTCTAATGCTATCATTTCTTTTTTGTGTGTTACTTGGAACATTTTTTGTAAAAGAGATGTTCCCCCACATCTGTGATTTGGTTAACCAGTGGTAATGTTCATGCAGGAAAAGAAAAATAACTATTTGAATTTTTCCCTTTATTTACCAATTTTCAAGATAAACTTTTCCCTGTCATCTTCTAGTGATCACTCTTTTTAACAGCATTGTGAACTAACTTATGAATTCACACATATTGCATAGACTTCAATCCACTTTAAATATTACCTTACTGGGCATGCATGCAGGAAGCAGCCAATTGATGTTTCCCTCTCACATCGATGTTTCTCTTTCCCTCTCCCTCTCCCTTAAAAAAAAAAAAATATTACCTTACTGAAGCTCAGATTGCCCTGTCTTTGGCCATTGGGTGTCTCACCACGTTGCCTCTGAATCCTTTTGACCCTACTCTCGAAATCTTTGGTGGCTTCCTTGCTGTCTCACGTGACACAATATTCCAGGCCCAGCTTGTATGTTTCCTGCCCTAGATCTGGAATCGGCCATTTGCCAAGAAGCCTGGTCATTTTCAGTGAGAAATGGCATTTCCACGCTCTGCTCGGGGTGGTTATGCTCATTGCAACTAGACTTCCCATTGTTTCTGGAAGGGAGCTAAGAAATAGCTTTGATTTTTAAAGATAAAACACTTCATGAGTTTATTTTTAAAAATATATATTTTTGTGCTCGCTTCGGCAGCACATATACTAAAAAATTGGAATGATACAGAGAAGATTAGCATGGCCCCTGCGCAAGGATGACACGCAAATTCGTGAAGCGTTTCATATTAAAAAAAATATATATATATATACATATATATTTTATTGATTTCAGAGAGAAGGGAGAAGGAGAGAGAGAGAGAAACATCAGTGATGAAAGAGAATGATTGATAGGCTGCCTCCTGCACACCCACACTGGGGATTGAGCCCCCAACCCGGGCCTGTGCCCTGATGGGGAATTGAACCATGACCTCCTGGTTCATAGGTGGACGCTCAGCCACTGGGCCACACTGGCCGGGCCATGAGTTTATTTTGATACTTTCAAATCAAATGGAGTACTACAACCTAATCCTTTTTTTTTTCAACCATATTTCCATTTTTTCTATACTGAGAATTCTGGTTTTCCAAGACGGGCCACGATAAAATTAGAATATCACACAGATATTCATTTCTTTTATTACCTTACACATGCAACAGTTTCAGAGTAACAATACTAATACAACTACCACCAATATTTAATGAAAACAATTAAACATTTTTTATTTGCGCTCCCTATCCTCCCTCTACTTTTTAAAGCTGTACTCTATCAACATTTTCGGAACATTTGGTATGGCATCACATACTGTACTCCCTGCCTCCTCCCCCATTTAGTCTTAGTTCTTCAAGTAACTGTGTTCAGTGCTTGCCACCAGTCCTAATTTTATAGTTTGACTGTTTTTCATATCTGACTTTTTAATGACGAATCCAAACTTTTGTTTCTTACACATAAATGTAGTCGTAATCATGGTGTCCCAAATATCTATAGTAAACCATCCATTCCTCTTTAAAGTCTTGCTTATGGCCCTGCCACCCACTACAAGGGAATTCGAACGACATAAAGCCGGTGAAGTTGAGGGCTTTCCCTCCTCCTTGTAGATGTTGACTTCACAGCTGTGAGCAAGTAACAGATGTTTAGTTTCACAACCTCTTCCTCCACTTTGGATGAGTCATCCAATAAAGCACAAAAGGAGGGAGGTAATCATCAGACTGAAAGTCTATTTTTAGTCCCTAAAAAATAATTTCTGAGCATCAGTACTGTCCAGGAAATAAATCTTTGTTCATTTAGAGCCATCCAAAAGGCATCTTTAAATCTATAAAACTTGAAAAAAAAGTCAAAACTTTAAATCCCGTATTTTACATAAAGCTTTAAGTCACCCGTGGGGCTCCGTGCAGCAATTCTGTACCCTGCCCCTGGATTCCCCCGAGGAGAAGTTTGCCACCTCCAGGACTCATCAGGTGCTGGCCGCCTGCATGATTTTGCCTTCTGCATTGTTTTGAGTTCTAAAACGGTCAAGTGCAAATATTCATTCTTTCACGGTGCCTTTAACCTTTTATGTTAAAAAAAATCTTCTAATTCTTTGTTTTAAAAAATGAAAACCAATGTTTGAAGCTGTTGACTACTAACAAGTTTCACGCTGTTCCTAGCGCCTGAGATGCAGCTTTTCCAGGGGCTTCTGAGGGAAATCTGAGTCACGTTTCTCTTCAAGGCTAAACTCTTCCAACCCTGCGAAGCCTGTGGAGCTGTTCCTTTCATGTACCTTTCCCCCGGGCTTTGAACGTAGGCTGAAAGTGGGGTTCCGAGTCTGTGGCCCTATGTTAAGACCCCGGTCACAGATCCAGCTCCAACGATGGCGCTTCACTGCGTTCATGGGGTGCTCAGTCTTTCACGTGGAAGTGAGCTCACTCCAGTGACTGAATGCTGAGTGTATAGTTTGTACCTTTAGGCATTGAAGTTTTTTAAAAAGTCATTAAGAGATTCATTCTTTACTTATGCAACTGCAAAAAAACAACTGTATGATCAGAATTTAAAATGTGCAGGTGTTTTGTTTTTTTTTCCTTCTGTAAAAATGTATTGTGAGAAATAAAGAATGGCAGGACCATTGCTTTCATTAAAATATCTATTGTGTCTATTCTTTTTTTTCTTGAACACATATTTATTTTTATCTTTTGAATTTAAAAATCTTTTTCTCTATTATTTATTTATTTTTAAATTTCTTTATTAAGGTATTACATATGTGTCCTTATCCCCCCCCATGGCCCCCCCCCACCCTATTGTGTCTATTCTTAAATATTGATCCTGATACATTTTTTACACAAACCGATAAACTTTTAAAATTGTCATTCAGCAGTATCTATCACAAAAATACACCTTCACGTAGGCCTCTCGGGGAAAGTTTGGTAATATCTAGAGACATTATTTGTCATAACTGGGGTTTCGAGTGGCCAGGGACATATAGGTAGAGGCCAAGGATGCTGTTTACTATTGTACAATGCCCAGCACAGCCCCCTCACAACAAAGGATTACCGTGCCCCAAATGTCAACAGTGTCGAGGTTTAGGAACCCTGATTTAGGCCAAAGAAATGCTGGTCACCATGGAGTTACTGGTTCTGCTTCCAAGGGGCTTCACTGAAATGTAAAAGGTTAAATGTAGATGAATTCTATGTCATACTCTCTGCTAAATATGTACTAAGTTCTAGGTGGCCGAACCTGTCGTGTGTACCCCAGTTCAGGATACGCTCAAACATAGGAGAGCTTTTTAGATTTTTTCACAAGAGGTACAGCTAGAACACGGGTGTTATTGACGTGACCTATGATGAGTGACATCCTGCAAGGTAGAGGGAACCCAGGAGGAGTTGGGAAGACTTAGCATCGTCACCTAGGCTACTTTCATGGCAGTAAATAAGACAAAATCTTACAGAGGGACACCTGTATCTGAGATCCTTGAGGCTAAGAAATACTTACGTTTTTATCTTATTACTGGACAATCCTCTGGTATTTTAATCCTGCAGGTTTCAGAAAGCCACACACATGGGTCTTGATTAAGGCTAATCATTGCCCCCAAAGTAGCCAGGTAAGAGGCTCAGCGAAGGTGAATCATGGGAGGAGATTGGTCAAGGTCGTGCTGCGGTTATAAACCCCCAGATCCCGGCACTTAACTTAAGGTATAGTACTGTGGGCCCTGGCTCTTCTCCAGGCAGCTGCTCTCTAACCACAGAGTTACAGGCCACTTTGATCTCATGGCATTTCTATGTCACCGTGTGCTCCTGGCACCCCTCATCACAACAGACTGGAAAAATGGCTGATTACACAGGTAGCACCGGCCCTAACTCCAAATACCATTGGGGATGAGGGTTTCCACATAGGACCTTTGGAGGGACACATTCAGCCCATACATGCTCGTTGAACAGAAAAATGAATGTCTGACACATGGATGGATCCGACTACTCCTGTTAGCGTCTCTGCATATTCTTTTCTCACCGGGAAGGTCTATATGGGGAACAAATTTACTCCTTTTTTCCCTGCTGTGTGAAAATGCATCTGGGCCCTTCACATACTTTTTCTTTCCTGGCTGTCACAATAGTAAGACTTTCCAATAGAGGGCACTAGAGAGACACTGCAGGAGGAAAAGGGCTGCAGTGTCTCTCTAGTGCCCTCTATTGGCCATCTTCTGCAGTGCCCTGTGGCCAGCAGCACCCAGCATCCCTCTGGATCAGTGATTGCCAAAGTGGGCGCTACCGCCCCCTGGTGGGCGCTGCAGCGATCCAGGGGGGCGGTGATGGCCACAGGTGCATTTGTTTTAACTTTTTTGTATTACCTTTCTATTCTGAGTTCAATAAATAGTTTCATAATTTCAAACTTCAATGTTTCTAATTTACACCTTTCTTTACTATATTTTACGAAAAAGGTAGAAACATTAATACATATATCTTTCTGTTTAATTGCTATTAAAATTTAAAAAAAATTAATTTCCAGGGGGCGCTGAGTAATATTTTTTCTGGAAAGGGGGCAGTAGGCCAAATAAGTTTGGGAACCACTGCTCTGGATGGTATCTTGAGGAATACCTGAGATACTTCTTTTCGAACAGGTAGTTTTCCATGGGACCCTGGAGGACTGGTTTCCAGCAAGTTCTGACCGCATAGCACCACAGTGACTTCTCTACCATCCAGTGAGACACAGGGACCTCTCCAGCAAGGCTTGGGTCTATAGGCCCTAGTGGTGGTGGGAGTAGAGCCTTTCTTTGGGTACTCTATTTCAACCCTAAATTCCTTTTACTAACAAAGTAATATGGGACACTTCACAAATTTAGTTGTCATCCTTGCATAGGGGCAATACTAATCTATATTGTTTCAATTTTAGTATAGTGAGCACTCAACCCTATAGTCTTTAGATTTTTCTACTACTTACTATATGAATCTGCTAAAATTAAAAATTATATTAAACTTTCTCAGTTCAAATTACTGTGTCTGTTCAAATGTCTCCTGATTTGACCTAGACTGATCAATCAGGTTATATTGATTTTTCCCGAATACCCACAAGAAATTTGCATGCTCCCATCAGATTTTGCCGGCTGTGGGTAGAGAAAGAAGAGTTGGGAGTTGAGAATGCTGAGGTCCAAATCAAATAAGTAATCATTTGCTGGACTGAGGTGCCAATGTCTCGTTCTCTGATTCACTTCCCTTTGGGTGTAAAATTGAAATGCTGACAAAACGGAGATCCCGGCCACTGGAACGGGAAGGAATTAATGGAGGATTTGGACTCCTGACTCCCCGAGCCACCCCGCATGCTGCTCCCTTCCTGACAACCAGGATGACACTGCCTTTGCAATACACATGGAACTGGAACTCAGTTTGGGGGTGGGTGAACGTTTTAGAAGACAGAGAAGAGCTCTCTGCCAGTCCAGCCAACTTTCTTCATCTTCTCCTGAGACGAAGTTTGTCAGGGTAACCTGGGTATATGTTGCCCCAGAGTTACTGCTGACAAACAGAACATCTATAGGGGTAGCCCCATTCTTGGCTTTTCAACTTAACAGCCCTACAGACATAACCAAGTCTTTGGTGTTTACTTTTTGGGAGTTCTCCTAAAATGAGACTGATAGACAGGTGACTATTAGGATTGTAGGCCCAGTAAAAACCCAACTTG